TACAGAGTTAAGTCTGTCTAATAGACGACCGGCATCTTCATGATCGTCGCATATCAAAATGATATCATCTAAATATCTCCTATAGAAAGGCAATTTTGAAATCAAATTAAGGGACAAGTTCTCAACATAAGGCATGCAAACGTCCACTGACAAAGGTCCTAATGGACTCCCCAGAGCAACGCCAAGCGTTGTATTAATCAGTCTTAAATCCTTTTTATGTCAGGCTGTTTAGTTTAACATTTTCATATATATATATATATATATATATATATATATATATATATCAACTTGACAAGTAAATGTGTGATCAGATTGTTCGAAATGTATAGCGCAAATACACCACATTATTTTTTAGATAATCTCCGTCTTCTTACAATGCTATCCAAATTTATATGGAATTGCAGACAATGAAGATCTCAAAGATATAAGTCCTCAAATGTTTTCACAAATCATCTCATCGCAGTTTCTTTAGATTGTTATGACAACAAGAAATGTTGCTTTTGTCATTGATTTCTCCTTCGTTCCCCATCACTTTGACCAACGAAGTTATTCAGCGTTTCCTAGTAGCACTGTCCTTATTTGAATTCGTCTCAGGTACACTGGCTAAATTGGATCTTTTCAGTAATTTCTCTTCAGGTTCTTACAATTATAAAATATATTTGTTGTCGTTACAATAATGTCCAGTTTAGCGGCGAGTACATTTCTACATTGTCTCCCATTTTACAATATTTTGTAATTTAATTCAGCCTAGAACGTTTGTCACACAAATACCACCTATTTTGTTAGCTATAACTAATGTTATTCTATGGAAAGTGTATCCGCTGCATAACTGGCCGTTATTATAACGAAAACAAATATTTTATGATTGTAGGAACCTGAAGAGAAATTATTGAGAAGAGCATTCTTCGTTCGGATTGACTTCCAAATTGGGTCGGTTTGATGTGAATGACACAGAAGTTGATTAGGTAGCACAGAAAGATCATGCTCACTTGGAACATACGAAGGATACCCTGATTTTAATTGAAAGCTACGGTAAAATACGAAGTCTTCCGAGTATCCTTAGCTAGAATACTAGGTTTTCTTGGAATGCTGTGTACCTGTGACAGGACTAGTCTAAACACACTCATAATTTAAAGCGACTCAACGTGTCCTAGCTCTCCCAGAAGTAACAGTCTGTCCGTTTTATCCTATATTGCACTTCTCAAGCGTAATGTGTCAGAGCAGAAAATATGAAAACACCACAGTGTTTAATCATAAGAGTACCCGTCCGATTACTCGTTTGTCTACAGCTACACAGTACGCCGTGTTGCTGAAATTAAACATTCATTATTAGACAAGTGAATTTAGTCAGTCAATCTTTATCGGTTGACGTGAGTACAATACGTGGTAAGCATGTCAGGACGCCTCCTTCCTTTCCTTTTATGTTAGTTTAACCATATCGTGGTTTGTATCAGTCATTTTAAATGCAAAGCGCTGCACTTTTTCCTAGTTTATGACATTATAAAGTCCTCAACAAAGTTAAAGGGTATACTAAGGAACTAGTTACTTCATACCTCTATCTTTTGTTGAAGTGTTAATTATTAGATAATGTAAATTCTAGGCTGAAAATCTAAAATAAAACAATTTTTCATCAGCAGAACTTTTAATGATATGATCTGTGATAGCCTGTAAAGCAACGTACATGTAAAAAACCAAAAGTTTGAATTGAAATAATAGATCTTCTTTTTTGTTATAGCTTGATGACACACAGTATTTCGGTACACGTATAGAATTTTCAGCATGTGACATCGGTAGGCCAAATTTAGCAGGCCGACCATGGATATCATGTGTGCGTCGGCCAGGGATCGAACCGCGGACCATGTGTATGGTGGGGCAGCATCCTAGGCGCTGTCCCTAGTCTTAATGATATCATAGACAGGTAGCCTTGGACCTAAGTTTCCTGCCTGTTAGCACTCATCAAAGAGGCTTATCCGAAGTCTCCTGAGATTCGGTCTGAGACGTTACCACTGAGCTTTTCGAGCTCCTAGTTGCCCTCCTGTAGGACTGTGTTGAGTACTTTGATTGGACACTAACTAACGTGCTGGCCACATTGTAAACTTGGTTGATAGAATTCAGTCTAGAGCAAACAAAAGACTAGACTCATGAAACTATCTAGTGTTCGGTCGAAAATCTTTATAATGCTTTTAAAGCTGTTTGAAGTTTTCATATCACTGTTGTATGAACAGTTCCACTTACTTCTATTCATCATTCTTGTACGATTTTGTGCTAGTCATGGTCAAAAAAATCTCTTACATAGATTCAGATGATAAGGATAGAAGGCTCTTGTGGCCTGTGTTAATCCTTGCAAAATATGTCTCTTCAGAGATCTAACTTCTCTTTGAAAGCGTTCACCGATGAAGCTGATACTACTGAATCAGGTCACGAGTTCTAGTCGTTGACCACTCTTTGAGAGAATCTAAATTCTGCACGTATTTTAATCGTCCTCGGTTTGAGAACCTTCTTGTGGTGACCATGCAAATGTATCCTAGAAGGGGAGAAAGGTTTAGAAAGGTCAGTTCCTAAATCACCCTTAAGTATACGGTATGCTAAAATTAAGTCGCCTCCCTTCCCTCGGTATGATAACGGGAACAGATTTCAATGATCCATCTTCTTATCATAAGGAAGGTGTGAGATACCACTAACTAATTTCGTTCCTACTCTCTGTACTCTTTCCAGTATATATGCCTCATTTTTAAGCATGGACTCGCTGCTTGTATGCAGTATTCTAGATGATGCCTGACATATGTTGTGCAGAGTATTTGGAACATGCTCTTCGAAGTGCTGATAGCATTCGAAAAGCCTTAGCTGTGGCTGCATTGCAATTTGCAGTTGTTTTCAAGTCACTGCTGACAATGATTCCTAGGTCCTTCTGTTCGTTAACATCAGGTAGTTCTTTGTCCCCTAGGGAGTACGACGTTTAAGACTTCTGACCTGAGTGCATTACCGCGCTTTTCCTAGAATTCATTTCCTAACTCCACAGGCTCAACCACTAAGCTAATTTATCTTAATCAGTTTGTAGGGCCGACCTATCCTCGTTATTATTTACAGTTTTCCATATCTCATTGTCGTCTGCAAATAATAATGAAGATGAAGTAAGAATCCCCGGTAATTCTTTAACGTATAATAGGAACAGCAAGGGGCCTGATACAGTTCCCTGGGGCACTCCACTGGATACTGCTTTCCACCCTGATAGTACACAGTTAACTCTAACCTTCTGCCTTCTATCAATTAGGTAATCCCTAAACCACTCACATAGGCATTGGTCTAGTGAGAAGCCTTTACGTTTTCTAAGGTGACCGAAGTGGGATACTTTGTCGAATGCTTTGCTGAGATCAATAAAACCACGTCCAACAGAAGGTTTTTATCTCTGGCCTCAACCCGGTCTTCCCTAGCCAATAGTAGGTTTGTCAGGCAGGATCGTCTTGGTCAAAATCCATGCTGTTCCACAGCCAGCAAGCCATGTTTTTCAACGTAAGCTAATAGCTGATCCCTTATAATAGTTTCCAATACCTTTACCTTAATGCATGTCAGATCTACCGGCCTGTAGTTAGATACCAATTGCCTGTCCCCCTCTTTGAAGATAAGGCTTATAATGGCATCTTTCCAGTCCCTGGGTAGCTTAGCCTGGGCTAGAGACATTTGGAAAATCTCCGTAAGTGGAATATATATTATATCCGCCAAGGAAATTAACAGTTTAGGGTGAAGTCTATCCGGCCCAGGTGATTTACCTGGCTTCAGTTTAGACAGTAGTTTGAGGACCTTTGTGTGCTCTACCACAATTGAGGACATCTGAGTGGCGATGGCAGTGATCTCGCCATATCTCTGGTTGGTATTATCAGAAGAGAAGACGTCACAGAAGTATTCAGAGAGGTTTTCAGCCTTACCTTCGTCTAACTCAGCCGCTTCTCCACTAATGCTTATGAGTGACGGTGTGTATTATATCTACTGATAAAATTTTTTTTCGTAATGCATATCTTTACTATTGCTTAGAAAATCATTAATACTTTCATGCTAAAGGACCACAATAATCTTTCGCTAGTTATCTTCGTCATATTATGACTGTGATGTTCCTATTCCCTATGTTTTCTGTGTTTTTTTTAACTATAGCAACTTGAATTGGTATTCTTAAGTGCTTTCGCGCAAAGCAATGCTAAGATGAAATCAGCTATCACGTTAAACCTCAGCGAGATTTGTGCAATGATTCACCAGCAGAATTTTCTGATACCTTTAACCACCCCCAATGTTCTAAGTTTGCCATATTATATTTATATATGCGTCGGTGGCATAGCGGTTAGGACGGTCGCCGACCGTGCACATAGTCCGGGGTTCGATCCCCGGCCACTGATGCACTGCTTTACCTCGCTAAGCCAGAAATAATGCAGGTAAAGAAGAAATTTTGAGCGTGTGGCTAGCAACCCCATCTTGTAAAAATTAAGCACTGCTACAGAAACTTCAAGCCTCTAGCTTGAAGCTTTATGTTCCACTGGGGAACATGAAGGAAAATTAAAAAAGAAAATTAGACTACAATTGATCAAGATCTCCTATAAAAAATTCTGAAAAAAATTCTGCGTTGCTCATTTCGCTTAATTATGAGAACAAAGAGTTTTCAAGACTTAAGCAACCATGAAAGGATAAGATTTTCTGATGAAATGAATCGCTTGGAGGATTTCACCATGAGATGACATCAGTTAGATAACCATTGGAAAACCAGCAAGGAGTAATAGTACGGCTGTTTCGTTTGACTAGTGTGGGACTCTTGAGCAGTACACACCCGCCGCCAGGGTTCGAACTTCCGGAGCTTCTGGTTACAAGGCGAGCCAGCTCGTAGACCATTAAGCTACTCGGGCCCAATCCAATAGCTCATGAAATCTTTCAACCAATCAAATAAAATCCCTACAAAACCAATACTTGAAATGAATTGCTTTTTGTTTTCTTTCTTTCTTTCCTCTCGTATGTTTCAGAATTAATAATAATGCCTCCTGCTTGGCTGTGTATCAAAGATGCTGCCATTCTAACTATTGGTGTTATTGTCTACTTTATTGTTAATCTAATCAACAGTATTCGTCTCTCCCTGTTTCCTGTCTATAAATCGTTGAAAAATGAAGTGATTCTAATAACTGGTAAATTTGTTTAATCATTATTTATCATTATTATGACTTCAAAACACATTAATTGTGTTTGGTATTAGGCGCTGCTAATGGATTAGGTCGTCTATTGTGTGTAGAATTTTCAAGACACTGTCCAACTATTCTAGCACTAGACGTAGATGAAAATGGCTTAAAAGAAACTGTTGAATTAGTAGCCAATACAACTGGATGTCAAATAAAAACATATAAATGTGATCTAAGGTATGTGTGAATATGTGTAAATAACTTAGAAAAAAAACATTAATGAATTTGTTTACTTCAAGAGATAAACATGAAATTGATAAGGTTGTTCGATTAATAAAGAGTGATTTTGGCAAAGTTACAGTTTTGGTGAACAATGCTGGTATAACAAACATGGGAGGATTTTTCAGATGTAATCGAGACCACTTTGAAGATTTACTCAAAGTGAATACGCTTGCTCAATATCATGTAAGTTACCTCTTGTTGTTTCTTACATACATACATACATACATACATACATATTTCAATCAATTAATAGTGTTCTCTGAGGAGCTGATTGGTTTAGTTGTGGAGCTTTCGTCGTCCACCTATCTGGACAACATCCCCCTTCAGCGCAATATTTAGCATAAAGTGAAATGATTTAAATTTCTTTATGAGTGATAGATATAATTGCGTCTCCCGGTAACTATCTTTACATATGTATTGATCATTTTCTACTGTCTTGGATTTTGGACCTTCTGGTCACATGATTTACTTTTTATCAGTTGGTATATTTCGTCTATATTAACGTGTTTGTTAATTGCATATTCCCTGGGACTTCTAGTGTTTCCTCTGTCCAAGATTTCGACATTATTCCAACCAAATTGATGTCCATAACTGTCTATATGCATTGATATGAAAGGATACATATCGTGTCTTTTCACGGCTGATTTGTGTTCTTGCATTCTGATTCGAAGAGAACGCCCACTTTGGCCGATTTAGTGCCTGTTACAGTTCATACAACTTAATTGTTTATTTTTTTTCCTTCACGTTCCCAGTGGAACATAGGGCTCCAAGCTTATAGGCTTGAAGATTCCTTAGCAGTATTGTTTTTTTACAGGATGGGGTTGCTAGCTTCATGCCCAACCTTTCCTCCTTACCAGTCTCACTACTGGCTTAGCGAGGTAAAGGTGTGCGCTGGCCGAGGCTCGAACCCCGGACCATATGCATGGTCGGCGAGCGTCTTAACCGCTGTGCCACCGACGCCAATTTATTTTGTAAATGGTATCAATTTTATCCCTTTTTCTGTTGGATCTTTCGGTTTGCGCAATATTTAATGAAGTGGTTGTGTTGGCTGGCTGGCTTGTGTGCTATATCTATATCAAACGGTTTCAGTATTCTAGCTATCATTTCAGAGATAGCTTTCGTGTATGGTAGGATGAATTTTCTTGTGGTTTTTGATGATGGTTCCTTGTTGGTGTTGTGATTCGATTTTAAACACTTTTTGATGAAATTTTGTTGATAGCCATTCTTTTTGAAGACCGTTTGTAGGTATTTTCCTCCATCCATTTTCAACTTTGGAGGGCTACAGTGTGTTTGAACTCTTTTAAACAATGTCTGCACACATTTAATTGGTAGATGGTGACTAGCAGTGGAATCCAGGACAACGCGCATTTCGTCCTATTTGGGACTCGTCAGCCACTGGATGTACCTGCATTTCTCAGTGAGTGATGATGTTCCCAGAAATGCAGGTGCATCCAGATGACGAGTCCCGAATAGGACGAAATGCGCGTTATTCTGGATTCCACTGCTAGTCACCATCATCCACCAATTAAATACTAACTAAATACCCAGACATCGTCGAAGCATCTGCACAAGAAGCCGACAGACCTGTCAACCTGAGACCGAGCACTTCGGTCCTATCAATCAGTCGACGCGAAAATCTCAAATTCAATAAAATGTCTGCACACAGTTTTATTGTGAGTGACTAATTGGATTATTGCTAGTGTGTAGTTGAGTATTTGATCTGTGTGTGCGTTGATTTCAATCAATTTTAATAGGAGTATATAATGCCGAAGAATGCATTAACTCTTAATTTCTTTTGTAGTCTCTTTATTATTCTGAAACATTTTATATGAAGTTTTCATGTACTTCTAAAATATCTATTTATTCTTACAAAGACTTGGTTGTATTCTCTGAAAACATACACGTCTTGTTTTAGCAAAAATAAACATTCTGAGAAAAGAAAATATTGACAAGAAAAAGCCGTCACCTATCATTTTTTCATGTTGGTTTTTTTTGTAATACTCACACATTCTACTATTATTCCTAGTTCTAGTCTATTTGGTTACTACCATTTTGACTGAAATTTCATCAGGCCCACTTGAAGCGGAATTAGACAACTATGGCGTTATTTACCCCTACGCAGTTTATTATTATTATTATTTTTACTCCTTTAGTTCCATAGTGGGGAAATACGACTTCAGGCCAATCTGGATTTCATCTTGTTCTCTGTCGTCTTTATTTCATCGATCTCTGCGATTTGTCATCAGCTCCTATTTTGACTCTTTATACGATCGCATGCATGTTATCGTGTCACCTATGCACAAAACTGTTGTTTCGAATTTGACTCGCATTCATTCAGGGGGAATGAATGCCTAGCGTCACTCATGTCACTCAACGGTCTTTTTTTCAGCGTATTTCTGATCTAGCTAGCCCTGTCTCTCTTCCTCAATATATTTGTTAAGTGATAGATTCTTAGTTGCTTTATAGACTGATAAATATCATAATCAAATTCAGCAAGAGATTATTTAAAGCAGTTAGTGTGACAACAGAAGACAAGGGCCAGGCAACAGATCGTTTTATTATGAAAATCAACACGTATTTATATATATTTCACATACATTATTATAGCTTATGCAAGTAGACAAGCGCAGCCTTCTGATTGGTTGTTTATCAGAAGTTAAGCTGACAAACGCAGGCTTCTGATTGGTTGTTTCGGAATTCCTCGAAAAATGGAGTTCTCTATCTGCGAATCATATTTTGCCACGTTAAGTCTGCTATGAAAGGTTGTTGAATCAGCCTTGTACATATTTTCTCACGGCCTGCTCTCACCACATTAGTTCCCTTTATGAATTTTGACAACACAGTTAGATGTAGTTTATTTGAGACGTGTAATGTATTGGCGCAACACATTTCGGACATTCTGATCACACACGTACTCGTCATACACAGGATTTTATAGAAGACAAGAAGGCATGAATGATTACAATACAGGTCAGATTGTGTACAGGCTAAGGTCACAAATAATGTGGGTAGGGAGACGCAAAAGGTGTGGGTGAGAAAGATGAAAAGAGAAAAGAGAAAAAACAAGGCATAGAAGGGGTTGAAAATATTATGAAGTAGATTGGTCCTTGGTTCTAGCTTGGATTACCAAGGCAGGTTCAAGGTGACAACAAATATCTTTTGGACACATAAGATAGGCTTAAGTCTTTTTATGGCTAAGGCTTCAATGAATTTAAGTATGTGGCCCAACCTTGTTTTTTATATGGGCTTAAAGGCATTGTTGAAATCAATCAACCTTGTGACTTGTCTCTATAATGTGCTTCACTATGGATGATGTTGGACATCTGTTTCCGGGATCAGCTCTGTCTGGCGATTTCACTTGTTGTTGCAGCCACTCTGGAATGTGTTCTGTAGCCCTAACCTGAAGAGACCGGTGGGTCCTCCCTATGTACGTGTCTCCACACATACATGTAAATTGATAAACACAGTGGGATGTGACATCATCGTTTGGATAATGTGAGGGTTTGCTGGACAGCATAGTTCTCGTTTTCTCTATGAAGATAAGTTTAGCTGCATAATGAGTTCTATTAATTGTTGCCCTTAGTCTTTGTCTAGTGACCAGACTTTGTTAATCATCTCTGAATGGCAAGGATATGTAAACATCCTTTTTGGGAGCTGACTGGATTGGTAGAGCTCTATGGTTGACACTTCTATAACGCCTAATAAATCTCCATGGGCAATTGTTATCTAACAACATTTCAGTGAGATGTTGTCTTTCTTCTTCACTTGTATCGGCAGTGCGTATTCGGTGAATGCGCTTGAACAAACATTTGACCAACGCCTTTTTTTACGGTAAGGGACAGAAACTATGATAATTTAGATACTGTCCCGTCCATGTGGACTTTCTGTAAACAGATCGTTTTACTGACCCATCTCAGCGCGTTATGAGTGCATCTAAAAACGGCAGGCAGTCACTATTCTCTTTAATGTATGTTAGCGATATACTGTTTTGTACTCTGTTGATTTGGTTCAGGATTTCTATAGCGTCTGTTGGTTTATCACAAATGACTATTATGTCATCTACATATTTTTTATAAAAACAAACTTTTCCAATTTCTTTCTCCACTAGGTTCTTAACATGCGACATATATATATATATATATATCAACTAGCAATGAACCTAAGGGGCTTCCCTTAGCAACACTATCGATCTGGCGATAATGCTCACCGTCGAATGTAAACTTAACATTGTTAGTACAAAGAAGCAGTAACTCTTTTAAGTAAGATATGGATACTGGCGATAGGAGATCGTTGTCAGAGATGTAATCACATAAAATTTCAACCGTCTGTAAAAGAGGTACATTTGTAAATAAAGAGTCAACATCTAGAGAAAACATGGTTATGTCCTTTATATCAACGTTATCAAGACAATCAATTAACTCAAAAGTGTCTTTCAATGAGAACTTACAGAAGCTTCTTTTAATATGCTTTAATATTTCCACTAGCCACTGTGCAAGTTTGTGGGTTGGGGATCTGCACATTGACATTATGGCACGTAGAGGAATAGAATTTTAATTGGTAGGTGACTTGTTTCAAAGTCCCAGAAAGAAGCAATGAATGAAAGAAAGTCAGTGGGGTCAGATAACAAACTGGACCAAAAATGATGGAAGCCGAAGAAAAGTAGAGAAAACAGTAACAAAACTGAGTAAATTTAAAGGGAATATCCTTTTCAAATCATTTCCTCTTCTGGCTCTACAGTTGTAAATAGAACTTTATATACATAGAATATTCTAGAATGGTAGTCAATAACAATATTAGTGTGTTATTTTAAATAATATCGATTTGTCAAATAAGATCAGTGGAATTGCCACAGTTCACGAAAGATGCATAAATTATATAATAAGAAGCATAAAAATTTAATAGTAAATAGAATGGGAAATAAAATAGAAGATATTTCTACAAAAACTTGAGGCCCATTAGAACCTTGATGGTCAAGTTAAGGACAGTGTTTAAACCAAACAACTTATTTTAGAAACATATGTTAGGCTTCTTAATGTGGATCCCAACGGTTGTGTCTCCAAAGCCACCCCTATTTTGCGTTCAGGAGTAAAAGACAAACTGCCTAATTTCCCCTCTTCTGTGAGGGTATATCTACCAATTTAACTGCTTCTGTGGAGTTATCCAGTTACACAGGCCGTACAACTAGTTAGGCGTGTTTATCGTCGCATTTCTGGACATCATACTGTATAGTAGTTAAGTGTGAAGGACAAACGAAATACATTCGTAGCGGTATTCTATCGTATCTTGTGGATACAGGACACAAGATTGATGTCAACAAGGCGGCTTTTAAAGTCAATTACCGCATTCCAAATAATCTAAATTTCACCTTAGTAGTTCGCCTACTACATATTGCTAAGGCCGTTGAGATATACATTAAGAAGCCTAATTTATGCTTCCAAAAGAAGCTAGTTCGGACACTGTCCTTACTTTGGCCATCTAGGTTTGAATGACCCTCAATTTTTATGGAATTTTACTAATTTTAGTTGATATTCTATTTGCTAATATATTTTTTATATTATTATTTTAATTTAAGCATTTTTAATGAACTGTAATTCCATTGGGATCTTACTTAACGAATCGATATTATTTAAAATAACACTAATATTGTTATTGACTACTATTTTAGAATATTCTATGTATATAAAGTTGTATTTACAACTGTAGAGGCAGAAGAGGAAATTATCGAAAATAATATTCTTCGCTAAATTATTTTGTTTTGCTTTTTTCTAGATGTCTGAATGAATATTTTCTTTAAATTTTTTCGAGAGGTAAAATGGACTCATCTGCTTTACTATGATTAGCTTTCACATACCAAAACATTGATTTTGGAAATTTAATCGCTCCAACTAACACTTTCCTGATGACTGATACCTACAGAATTTATCATTAATCCTTTCAAGTTGTGTACTTCAATTGTATCTGTATAACTGAAGTGTATTAGATGTTGTATAACTTGAACTGCAGTCGTTAGTGAATAATTTATTCAAGTATTGGTTTGCAGGGATTTGGTTGATTGGTTACAGGATTTCATCATGAGCTGACATTGCTTAGAGAACCATTGGGAAACCTGCAGGGAGTACTTGTTATAACGGTAGGGAATTAAATGGGGACGTTGTCGCCTTGTTCTGTCTGCGCCTGACTAATATGCCTATCTGCTTGTGGTACCTTCCGATTCAGTGAACCAACGCAAATATGAAAAGACAAAGGCTGGCCTGTGAATGTATATTGTAGTACAACAACCACTACGACAAGAAACTTATGGTATTTATACATTTTTACAACAATATAGACAGCTAACAGCATTTGAAATAATTGATCATAATAGTCAATAGCAAAGTGCGTGAGAAATGATGATATGCAATTTATGCGAGATTAACAGCTGTTGAAATAATTGATCAGTAACAAAGTGCGTGGGATCCTATCAGTACTGGACAGCTATCGCGTCCGACTTGTGTGGGACTCTTCAGCAGTGCGCACCCACCGTTAGGGTTCGAATCCAGGACTTTCTGGTTACAGGGCGAGCCAGCTCGTAGACCATCAAGCCACGGGGACCCGATCCAATGGACATTCCACGAATTCTAACTTCTGCCCATTCACGATACAGCGCAACCGCTAACCATTGTCCTCGGCAAGTGTTTGCCCTCACATCCGACTTGCTGCACTCTACTGGTCACTGGCTAGTGGTTGCGCTATATCGTGAATTGGCAAAAGTTATAATTCATGGAGTGGCCATTAGATCGGGTCTCAGTGGCTTGATGGTCTACGACCTGGCTCGCCTTGTAACCAGAAGGTCCTGGTTCCGAACCCTGGCGGTAGGTGTACACTGCTGAAGAGTCCCACACAAGTCGGATGAAACAGTTATCCAGTACTCCCAGGTTTTCCAACGGTTCTCTAAGCAATGTCAGCTCATGATGAAATCTTGTAACCAAAAAACTTACTGTTACTTAATGTTTAAAATTTTCGAGGTGGAAAAAATTCATTTAAGAATTCTCCTGACAGCCTGGAGAATTTTGCATAATATTACTTGAAATGCAATGTGCAAACACTGCATGGAATATTATCAGCTGGTCAATAAGTCAGGGGTAATCTTCCTTACTAAATAACCGCATACAATATCTGTACGGGTTTCGAGCCTCGGCAGGAAAATCACCACCCACTGAGAAATGCACCTACATTCAGCTAACGAGTCCCAAATAGGACGAAACGCGCATCCTGGATTCCACTGCTAGTCACCATCCGACAATTAAATATCTGTTCTTATTCTTTTATTCAAATAAGCATGATATTTTCGTCTATTTATACACAGATGATAAGGATTGATTGATTGCACACAGTTGACCAGTGCCAAAACATCTCTTCGTTTACACTGATAGCTACAGCACTGGTTACTTCTATTCTTTTCATCCCTTTGAGTTCCTAGTGGAACAGAAGTATCAGTGCCTCTTTATTGGGTGAGGCGGCTAGCGTTATGCCCACCTAGCATTCGCAGATGAAGTTTAGGAGTGTCTCGGCAGGGAATCGAACCTTGGACCATGTCCATGGTCAGCGAACAATCTGTCATCGAACCATTGACATGCTACATTGCGATGATTATAAAGAATGGACTGATAAGTATATTTTGAATAATTCGTTTTTTAGTAAAATATCCCGGTGGGTGCGTATTGATGAAGAGTCCCAAACTAGGACGAAACAGCTGTTCAGTACTCCCTGTAGGTTTTCAAAGGGTTCTCTAACTAATGTCAGCTCATGATGAAATCCTGTAACCAATCAAATCCCTACAAACCAACACTTGAATACGAAGGTAGTTAGCCTACTGTCACCTTGTCTGCTTTCATGTGAAGATCACGCTTTGAAAAGAACAACCGGAAATCACTCTGTAAATATGAACTATAAACATCTTAAACATTTAACTTCCTTTTCCAGCAAAATTTTCAGGATAGATGTCATCTAATTTTTATTTATACATTTACTTATTTCTTTTTTAACAGCTTACCAAGGAGTTTTTACCATCAATGTTAGGCAAAAGGTATAATCCCTACTCTTCTGTACAATCGTCTGAAGAACCACATGGTCATATTGTTTGCTTATCATCTGTATGCGGTGTAATGGCTTTTCAAAGTTTTCCTATTTATTGTGCTTCTAAAGCTGCAGTCCTACTGTTAATGGAGTCATTAGAACTAGAATTAGCAAGTATGGGGATTAAAAATGAAATATGCATTACAAGAGTATTACCATATTTAATTAATACAAATATGGCCAGTGTGATAAGTGGAACGTGAGTTTATCACTTGTTTTCTTTTTTTACTAACTAATGTAGATTCTCTTTAGAATAATATAATATCTGTTTTGCATTGTGTTGTAGGACTTAAATTATATTTTTCTTTTCGGTGATTCATTTTCATGAGCTGTACACTCGTAATATATTAAACAAAGAAATCCTTAGACCAGTCCTTGAAAAATTGTATTGCATAATGTAAGGTGTAAGAAGGGATGACTAACTGTAAGTTAGAAAAGAGACAGAAGTTTGCATGGCGTTATAAATGTGAGATAATGACTAATCAGTGAGCTTGTGTAGAATGGACAGAAACCAGTGGAAAGGCGATAGTGTTTTTATATAAAAGCTGTATGAAAAAGTAATGTTATTAATAAACATTAGTAGAGTGGTAATAAAATGTGGATGATGGGAATAATAGTGATAATAATAGTGAACTTACATAATTAAAGAAAGAAGCAAAATTGTAGTAAGGACTTTACTCTGGCTATGGTAGAGCGACAGAATGTATGTATCGCTTTTGAATGCAGAGGTCCAGTTTCAGATCTCGAATAACTAATGCTTCAGCTATGTACAGATGGCGTATCCGAAGTCCCTTTGTACGATATTAAGGGACTCTGCGTATCCCTGTGAAACATTCATGGGGGGTGGGTGCTCGATGTCCGGAGATGACAAGGCCTTCGAGGATCGGGCTGCTGCTATTCTACTTTTCTCCTCTGGCTGGCTAACCAAGCTGGACAGTGTTTCAGAATACGTTTTGTGGACTTGACGTTGCGTACGGCCGATATACTTTACTACACAAGAGCAAGTAAATTGATAAATACACATTGAAGTGGCCAAAGGCGGTATCTTGTCCTTAGCATTAGACTGTATTAACTGTCTGCAGGAGAATGTGATACGTAGGTTGGCTGTTGGAAATGTCTTCTTCAGACATTTAGAAAAGCGGTTTCTGAGAATTTCCCTTCTTACACCTTACATTATGTAATACAATTTTTCAAGGACAAAGTATACCAGTATCTCACTGGTCTAAAGATTTCTTTGTTTAATATAATTACGAGTGTACAGCTCATGAAAATGAATCGTCGAAAAGAAAATTTTCTTCACTGTCTGTGCCTTTTTCTTATGACTCAATGTCTGTCTGTCTGTTTTCGACATAGAAATTTGCACCGATGTGCGGCAGTCGAAGTCGCCACACTCCATGTAGCACACAAAGCAAGAGAAGAAGACAGAAGAAATGCATAGTAGAGACAGTGAACAGAGGTGTGAGACAGGAACAGTAATAACGAAGAACAATACAGTTTCATTGGAAATCATAAGTCACAAGGAGTGGATGCATTTATGCCCATCCATTGAGAACGATTTTGAGCCATATCACCGATTGTTTCCAACCATTGGTTTTTACCGTCCCGGGGACCCCAACCTGGAAGTCCACATCTTCCTACGTGGTTTAGACTAACTGTTGTAGATTTCATTGACTGGTGCCATGTTTTTGTTTGACCTGTGCTAGCTCTTTTACAGCCTGACCCTATATTGGCCAACATTGCCCATAGTCGAGGAAGGCGATGACTAGGCATACGTAACACATGTCCTAACCATCTCAGTCGATATAATTTCACAGCCTCGTCGATTGATTTCCCCTGTTTACCTAGCACTTGATCGACGCCTAACCTCAATATTGCTTACCTTATTATACCACTTCACACAAGAGATAGAGCGCAGGCACCTATGATCAAAAAAAGCTAGCCAGGCTTTTCATGTCTTCCATGACTCAATGTGGGGATATTTCGTTCATTAAATTATATTTACTGATATCCATTTCTTTTCATTCCTTTACGTTCCTAGTGGAACATAGAGCTTCAAGCTAGAGGCCTTAAGTTCCGGTAGGCAGTGGTGTTTACTTTTACGGGATGGCGCTGCTAGCCAGCCTCTTGCCCAGCCTTCCCTCTTTACTAGTCTTATTACTGGCTTAGCGAGGTAAAGGAGTGCGGTGGCCGGCGACCGAATCCCGCGCAACATGCACGGCTGGCGAGCATTCTACCGCTGTGCCACCAACGCCTTGTTTTCCATATGTACTCTTATTTAGAGGAAAATAAAGACTACGTTAGTAGCCCTAAATGGGGAAGATTCCTAATAAGGCTGCAATCGATCTGGTATTTAAACCAACTAATTCACTCAGAGACAGACTTTATCGGCTTAAGGACTCGACAAATCGAATTTTTATGGCTTTGAGTTTAATAATAAATAGATCAAACTAGTAGATGAGGATCAGTTACATCAGTGGTACATAAAAATTTATCTAGAGCTAGAATGACTGACCTCACATTACTCTATCAAACTTACTGAAGTGAATACATGCTTGAACTTCTTCAAAGACTGTATTAAGAACCATGAATATAAATTCTAGGTGGTTTTTGAAGTAGAGAAGACGCTTACCGAAGAGACTCTTTTCGCCGGCGAATTCATTCATATAGCTGTACAATCGCATTCATATATAATTGTTTTGCGTGTGTGTGTACATGAGGTTTATCAAGTTTAGATAATTAATCAGGTAATACAAGAATGATCTAATATAGAAACAAGGTTAATCAGACAGTAAATAAAGTAAGATTGTAGTAAGATTGAGTAAGTAAGTTAGATGACGTAATATAATTGACTAAAATGTTTCAACTTAGATCAAGATAGCAACAGAGGTAATTACAGGTAGAGACTGAGTAGAGGTGGGGTGGAGTATAATGCTATTTAAATTAGGCCTAAAATTGAGCAAATAAATTGGATGACGTAACACAAGTACCTAGAAATTGAGCGTTGGTCAAGTCAGTAACAGAGGTAATACAGTGTAGAAATTAAATCGGGTGGGGATAGAGAACAAGAAATTTGAAAATGTAAAATATTACAGTTGAGAAGACAAAATAATACTCATGAAGAGACAGAAAAAAAGAATTAGGTAGAATTTACTTGTCGGGTAATAAGATAGATTAAATCCATTGCAAATGTAGTGATTGATAGAACTTCTTCTGTATGCAGAGTTCCCGCCTTAGCAAGTGAATCGCCATTGCTTCTGCAGTTTGAAGAAGTCTGATTCGTACACCTTTAGGAAGATTACTTCTTACTCTGTAGACGACTTTGAAGTTTGTTTGGGGTGTAGCTTGTTGTCCGGATTCTATCAGACGTTCTAAGATGGAGCTGTGGGGACATCGTTTTTCTCCTTTGTAAGACCATGTTGATAACTGTTCGGTGATACGCTAGGAAAGCGAACGCTGGGTACGGTCGACATACCTAGCTTCACACGAGCAGGTGAATTTATAAATACACATTGATGAGGACAGCCAGCAGTGGTAGATTATTCTTCACGTTCACATGATGCATAGGTTTTGTGGAGAAAGTTAGTCGTAGTTCATCTGCGAAGAAGGTCTTCTTGAATGAGTGCGAGAGTCGATTTTTTATTATTCCTGCAGATATATCTCCATTGAATTGAAGGTTCATGCAGAGTAGTTTTTTCGGGACCTTAGCGTGGGCTGCTTTTGGGGTCTAGGATTCATAGATTTTGCAATAAATCTTTCTGGATAACAATTCTCGACGAGGATTCTCTTGAGATTGTCCAGTTCATCTTCTGTGATGTCGGGTACAAATTCTGCGAACTCTGTAGTTGAGTGAACGGATCTGGTTTCGTTTGGTGTATTGGGGTAACCAACTGTGAAAGTTAGTAAGCTGTCCGTTCCACGTCTACTTTCTGTAGATAGATCTTTTCAGTGTTCCATCCTGCTCTCGTCTTGTTAGTTGGACGTCAAGAAAGGATATTTTGGAGTTGGACTCTTTCTCCAGCGTGAACTGAATCGCGAGGTGGCGGCTGTTAAACGAGATCAGGATGTCGTCTTGATTTCATTCATTGTTGACGTTAATGAAAGTGTCGTCGACGTATCTCTTATAGATTTTGAAGGTATCGATCATTTTCTTCATGCATGTGTTTTCGGGTTTTGCCATGAAGAAATCTGCAAGCAATGAGCCTATTGGTGAGCCCATAGCTATGCCATCCTTTTGGCGATATATTTCGTTGTTGAAAGAGAATTGAATATTCAGGGTACACCTCAGCAGGAGTTCTTTAAGACGCTCGGTGGGTATACCGATGTTTATTCCTTTGGAATGAATAAGTTCGCATATATAGCATATTATTTCAGTCAGTGGAACAGTTGTGAATAGTGATTTGACATCGAATGAAATCATGATCTTGTTGAATACGTTGATGTTTTCGATTGAGTCGATAAAGTCGAATGAATCTCAAACAGTGTAGCGGGAAAATTGTATTCTGACTGGTTCTAGTAGGTCTGCTAGCCATTGGACTTTGTGGTGATAAGGCGAATTGGTCATGTCGAGGATCGGTCGAAGAGGGATACCCTTCTTGTGTACTTTCGGGAGTCCGTAAAGTCGTGGTATATTTGAGCCGGATGGTCTTAGGGATTCGAACATTTCGTTGCTGATGAAAGATTCAGTCTTCAGCTTACGGAGGGTGTCGTTTTTTAAAACCACTCCGGAGGCATCATAAGGCTCCGAATTCAGAAAGGTATCATCGCCACACTGGAAATCACATTGATTCTGTAGTTCGCATGCATATATATATATATTCGAGCTGAAGCAAACAGTATTACAGATGTTTTCTACTCTTTGCGAATTATCATTAAACACCTGAGCTTCTTGTGCTTCTCCTTCTAATTATCCTAGTGAGTACTTTCCATGATTTAGTTATGAGCAGTTAATTGTGCTAGAAACGTTTCATTCAGCTATCAGTACTGTATTTTTGTGCGTTAGATCAACTTCTACACTGTCAAAACTACTAAATGTGATAGTCTAGTTATTACCAAATGAATCAAGGAACACTGGCCTAAAGTTTATTTTATCTTTGTCTACTTATTATATTAGCTCTAAGGCTTAATTCTCTCTGACAACTGCAAAAAATATACAAACAGACTAGTGACTCGAAAAGATAACTACACATGCTGAAGTACCTTTCAGCGATTAACAGCTGATTATATTGAAAACCAAGCAATGCTGAATAGCAAAGTAACCATATGAATCCATGGTTAACCTTTTTGTCTAGGAGAAAACAACATCTCGTACCGAATACTACATACGATTTCAATGTAAGAGTTTGTTTTGTTAGATGGTTGTGGAGGTATTTGGCGGAAACCTACGTCTTATTCTTGTTGCCGCTCGTCAGAAAGGTGTATCACGTAGCTGACCTCCTGTAGGACGGGTAATAGTTCCTTTGATCGATAAAACAATCTATGGGGATAATGGCTTCTGCCTCCTGATACATATTAAACTTTCAACTAACGTCAGAATTCAGTTTCTTTTTATATTTTTGGTCAGTTCGATTAGATTATTTGCCTGATATCATTGCTGACAATTCTTCATCTACTCATTGTTATTATCCCCATGCGTCCTGACTGGGACATAGGACTTCTAAAGCACATATCTATTCCATTCTGTTCTCTGAAGTTCCCCATGGCTGTTTCCACTATTTCCTATAAGCTGTCATCTGCTTCTGACACCTCTCCCCTCCATGTCACACTCAAACCTGCACCCAACTCGTTGTTTCCCATTTGGGTCCCACTCGATGGCATTCAATGGGCTTCTCAAAGTGTTTCCTATCCATTTATATTTGACTCGGCTTATTCCTTGAGCAATAGGTTCTTGGTTGGTTTGTTGTCATATTTTCCTGCTGTTTATTCCCTTTTTTAGTTGACTATCTGACTTTAAGTATCGAACGAAAGCAGTTGTTGATTGGAGTCAGCAGCCTGTTAGAAATGATTTGAGCGATGCACCAGGTCTCTCTATCTGGACAGTAGTGTATAAAAGCCGAATTTTGTTCTTTTTGATGATTGAAACAGATTGCCACACTGATTTGAAAGGGATTAAGATCCGTTTTGTTTTTTTCCAATCCTCACTTTGATAGCTTCATCTGCCTCAGTTCTATTTTACGAAATAGCTTTTATTTAGCTAAAAAAGAATGACATTTCTTATATTTGTAATATTAGGAAGAACAGTACTAATCAGAGAAAGCTAAAAGAATAATAACTTTGGTATTCCCAATAAATGTATGCAAAGATTAACTCAAGAGAAGACAAAATAAGTTGTAATTAGCTCATGAAATGGTGACAAGCGTGCTTATTATCACCAGTGATATTCCTAATTGTGGTGGAATGACCGGATTATACGTCAGACAGTGAGTGGGAGACGAGAAGACACGGAGGGATATCCTGGACTGACGTCAAGAACCTAGAAGACCTGGATTTCGCGCGTGGATGATCTATGTTTGATGTCACACAAAATCGAAGAGTTGCAGTCGAAAACCGATAAACTGGTTGAAGAATCAGCCGGCGAAGACAGGACTCCAGGTGAACATAGACAAGACGGAGATTACTAAAATAACCAGCCAACCAACAACAACAGCAGCACCAACATCCAGCCCCAATCACCATCAACGGGAGGGATTTGAAAGAGGTTCATCTAGGGAGCAATGTCTCAAATACAGACAGTCAGAACGGACGAAGATGTCAAATCGAGCAAGAATCGGGAAGGCGAGAAACACACTCATCAACTTGAAATCAATCTGGAAATCTTCGTCACTCAGGCACCATCAACAACAAAATTCAGTCGGATTTTCAATACAAACAACGTCAAGTCAGTCAGTTCTTCTATACGGATCAGGAAGTTGGAGGGCGGGCGGGTCACAAAGAATATTTCCAACAGCCTGTTGCAGACCTTCATCAACCAACAACTTTCTTCGTTGGCTCTATACTGAAGATCAGATGGCGTGGCCGGAAACAATCACCAACAAGAAACTATGGTTGGGAACAAACAAAACAAGAACCAATCGCCAGCCAAGAAATATGCATGAGAAAGTGGAGGTGGATTGGACACTCACTCGCTGAGGAGGCCGCCATTGGGTGACATCGCTCGCGCGTCAGGCCCTCGGGTGGAACCATTCCGAAAGGAAAGCGGTGAGTGGGTCGTCAGTGCAAGGGTGACATGGAGGAGATCGTTTGAAGAGGAGTTGAAACAGTGTGGACTAACATGGATGGAGGTGAAAATTACAGCAGGAGACAGAAGTGGCAAGTGGAGACGTGCAGTTGAAGCCCTATGTCCCACTAGGAACTCAAGGGAACAATAATAATAATAATATATAAGTTCATGAAATGAAATAACTTGCAATTTTACTATATCTCCTTGCTTTACTCGTGTATAATTATGAATAAACAAACAGACAAAAAAATTAATGAATAAAAAGGAATCAGAAGGAACGAGAAGGTCCTGGGTCCGAACCCTGACGGTGGGTGTGTACTGCTGAATAGTCCCAAACTAGTTTTAACGAAACAGCTGTCAAGTACTGCCTGGTGGGTTTTTCAATGGTTCTCTAACCTATGTCAGCGCATAATGAAACCCTTCAACCAATCATTCATAAATGATTCAAGGCATGCACTGGTGCTGTTCAGAGCCAGTCCCTGAGACAACTAGAACATTAAGGGGGAATACTCTTATTTTTGTGTTAGTGGTTATTAGCATCAGAATCCAGGATGCGTATTTCTTCCTGTCTGGGATTCGTCATCCGGACGAACCTATATTCTCGCTGGTATGCTTCGCCAATAGCTGAACGTCCTTTTACCCTTATTATTTATTATACTGTGCTATGAACATTTTTTTCGACTGACAATAATATTTTTTTTCCACCAAATATCTTCCATGTCTTTCTGTAGTCGATCTGGTGTATTTGTTATCAATGACGCTGAATGGTGTGCTAAAAGAATTGTTGATGGAGTTATGAAAAATGAACGAGTTATTTATATTAGTGGGTTTATGCGTCTTTTTGCAATACTGAAACTGTGAGTAAATTATGATACACACTGATCATATAGATATATTCGTAGATTTTTTATGTGTTGTTTTTTCACAGAAATACGTTTCAGAAGTATGTGTGTAAATCATAGTAGGCACTTGTCAATTTTAAAAATATCGATTCAGCTTTGCTAATTCCGCTTCATGTAATTTGGAGTTGCAAGAATACGCGTTTCTCTTGTATTATTTGAACTGTGTTTATTTTGTTTCATGATTGATGCGTGAACATCAAGCTGTAAAATAAGGAAGAAATGTGCTTCCGCTTTTAATACTACTACTACTAATACTAATACTGTAACGACAGAAGACAAAGGCCATGCAACATATCCTTTATTGGGAAAATCAAGAGATATTCAAGTGTTGGTTTGCAGAGGCTTAATTGGCTACAGGATTTCATCATGAGCTGATATCAGTTAGAGAACCATTGGAAAACCTACAGGGATTACTGGACAGCTGTTTCGTCTGACTAGTTTGGGATCCTTTATCAGCACGCCCCCGCAGGCAGGGTTCGAACCCAGGACTTTCTGGTTACAAGGAGAGCCAGCTCGTAGACCATTAAGCCACTAGAACCCGATCTAATGGCCAGCTCATGAATTCCAACTTCTGTTAATTCATGACTGCTGAACAGTTGCAAACTAGGACGAAGCAGCTGTCTAGTACTCCCTGCAGGTTTCCCAATGATCGTGTAACTAATGTCAGCTCATAATGAAATCCTGTAAGCAATCAACCAAATCCCTACAAACCAACACTTGAATATCAATGAGATGCTCACTAGCGACTTGCCTTATTCAGGTAGGTAGTTACCTGGGGTTCTAGTGAGAGGTCGTGACCAGTAGGGTGCAGCAGGTCGGGTGTGAGGAGAAATACTCGCCGAAAACAGTGGCTAGGAGTCGCGCTATGTCGCGAATTGGAAGAAGTTAGAATTCGTGGAGTGGCCATTGGATCGGGTCCCAGTGGCCTAAAAGTCTACGAGCTGGCTTGCCTTGTAACCAGAAAGTCCTGGATTGGAACCCCGGTTGGCGCGTACTGCTGAATAGTCCCAAACTAGTTGTACGAAACAGATGTCCAGTACTCCAGTGCTGGTTTTCCAATGGTTCTCTCACTAATGTCACCTCACGATGAAATCCTGTAAAAAATCAAGTGGTATTTATAAATTTTTATGTGCATTATTATTATCGTTATTGTTAGCAGAGAAACAGCGTCTTCTGATTGGTTGTTTTCTCGCTGAAGGTTATTCTGTCATCTCTTTGTGGCCATTTCTTAGAAAATCAAGTCATATATCTGTGAATCATATTTTCACACTTCAACTCACCTGTGATTGGCTGGTGATCTTCTCAAGATTAGGCTTTGTTATTGTTTTCCTCATGACCTTGCTTGATTCAGGACGTGAACATTAACGTATATTCAAGTGTTGGTTTGTAGGGATTTGATTGATTTCAGGATTTCATCATGAGCTGACATTAGTTAGAGAACTCTAACTAATGTCAGCTCATGATGAAATCCTGAAATTAACGTATATTGTTGTCTACAGTTTTTTGGCTTGCAGACAACTCTCACCAAACTACTACTGCCAATCACAGTCAGTCTGTTAGGACGCGGAATCATGTCACTGTCCACTTCAAAAAAACTGATAATTCGCGTCATCTTGGAGAGAGTAAAAGATGCTCTGGATGCAAAACGCTACTCCAACACAAGCTGGAATCAGGAAAAACCAATTATCATTGAACAGAGCATAGGATGGCTACGAAATCTCTACATTAACCTCAACACCTTTGACAAAGTTGACTGTGAAGTGATTTGGAAACTACTTCAAAACTATAAAGTAGCTTAGACTATTATCAACCGTATTCAACACCTGGTCAAATGATGATATCACATACCAAGTGACTCATTTGAAGTGAGGACTGGAGTAAGGCATGGCTGTTTACTATCATCAATGTTATTCCTGTTTCATTCAGCAAGCCGTGAAGAGCAAGAAGACAGGAATACATTGTGCCGACATGGAGACTCTAGAATATCTGGATCTCGCACAAACTCGATTATCTACAGGTAAAAACCAACAAAAATCGGCAGTAAAAGGAGGCACTGAAGTTAGAACTTGAAGTGAACATAGAAGAAACACGGGCGATTAATATATATCTAACCAACACCACCAACAACAATAAGCACTAATCACTGCCAGTTTAAAAGAAATCACTTCTTCCGCTTACTTTGGGCAGAATCGTCTCCTCGCCAGGTGACAAGGTTGAGGATGGCAAAAGCAGGATAAGAAAGGAAAGACAGGCATTTATTACTTTGAAGTCAGTGTGTAGATCTTCTGCAAAGGGGATAACGAAGGTGGCTCAGTTTTTTAAGACTGATGTCAAGTTAAATACTTTGCACATCACTAGAAGCATTTCAAACAGGTTTCAGAGCTTTATCCACAGCTACTTCCACTCGATAATAATGATGATCAAATGGTCAGACAGAAAGGGCAAGAAACAAGAAACTTCTGTAACAAAACGAACAAAAACACACTGACCAACGAATATTCCTAAGATGGATTGGACACATGCTGAGAAGACGATTCATTCATTGACATTGTTTGTCATACCCTCCCGTGGAAACCGAATGGTAGGTAGATGGTGATTTGGCAGTTCGGAGATGGCATAAAGGAGATTGTGTAAAGAAGAGATGACAACCTAAAGGGGGAATTATAGAGCCAGCTAAAGACGACCAGATAGAGAGAGAGGACTGGATGAAATGGAGATCTGCTGTTGAAGCCTTATCTTCTTCCAATCAGGACCCAATGGGAATCATAATAAAAGCCAGAAGTCGTTTTTCTTAAGACTAATATTAAAATTTCCTTACTTACTGGCGTAGAATCATGCTCTTGTCCACTCACGCCAAGTAAAATACTAGGTCACATCATCCGGGAGAGAATAGGGATGCACCGGATACAGAACTTCATCCATCATCCACCGGAACAAGCTGAATTCGAGAGGGCAAAATCACGTGCTGATCAAATTACAACTCTACGCAGCGTCATCATCACAGACCAAAGCATACAATGGAAGTCAAACTTGTCTCTACTTCAACTTCCCTCTTCGACTTCGAAAAGGTCTTCACCAGACAGCGTTGACCGAGAAGCGATTTGGAAACTCCTTCAACAATATGGCGCGCAGTGCACAAGACTTTTTCAACCTCATCCAACAGCTGGCTATATGACGATACCACGTATCAAGTGATCTGCAACGGAAAACTCGTCGAGGTGTTCGAAGTGCACACAAGAGTAAGACAAGCTAATTGTCTGTTATCACCCACGATGATATTCTCAATTGTAGTGTAATGGATTATGCGTCAGACTGTTGGTGGCAGGGAGTCGGGAATACGCTGGATGACCGACAAGAAGACTCTAGAAAACCTGGATTTCGCTTGTGGATGATATATGTCTGAAGTTACCCGAACTGGAAGACTTACAGGCACGCGAAAATCAATAAACTGGCTGAACAGGCTGGCAGCGAAAACAGGACTGCAAGTGAACATAGAGAAGGTGGAAACGGAGCTGATGAAACCAACCAATCAACAGCAACAATAACCAACACCAATCACCATCAACGGGAAGATTTAACAGAGATTGCCTCCTTCATTTATCTGGGAAGCATCGTCTCAACCACAGACCGGCGGAATGGATGAAGATTTCAAAGTCAGCGAGAATCGAAAGAGCAAGATACGCCTTCACCAACCTAAAACAAGTTTGGAAATCTTCTTCTGTCACTCAGCATAAGGAACGAGATTCGCATTTGCAACACCAATGGGAAGTCGGTTCTTCTATGCAGGGCAGAAACTTGCATTGCGTGTCACAAAAAGCATTTTCAACGTGTTGCAAACTTTCATTAACAGCTGCCTTCTTCGCTGGCTGGTTCCATACTGAAGATCAAATGACCGGCCGGCCAACAAGAAACTCTGCATTGGAACTAACCAACTGAGCAACAGCCGATCGCTCAACAAATATGTAGGAGAAAGTGGAGATGCATTAATCGGTCACACATTGAAGAGGCCGCCGAATGATATCTCACGTAATGCAGGCCATTGCTCAAGTGAAATCCAAATGGAAAGAGACAAGTAGGTCGTCAGTGAGAGGGTGACATGGAGGAGACTGCGTGTGGAGGAAGAGATGAGAGAGTTTGGTCAATCGTTGAAACACGCTGAAGAGGATGGCAAAAAACAGAACAAAGTGGAGATGTTTTTTTGATTGAACACCAGTAACTAGTGTGACGTGTCTAGCCCTTTCTTTGGTGCAGACTTAATTCTATCAGTCAGCTTTTCCAATGTGGCCACCATTCTAGGTAGCTCGCCATCACAATGGTAACGTCTCTGACTGCAACACTGGGTGATGCAGGTTCGAATCTGAAGAGAGATGAGTTTCTTTCAAGGTTGCAGATACGCCTTGCTAACGGGTGCCAACTAGCAGGAAACCTAGGTTGGATGGGGCTTCCTGCCGATCACCTCCAACCATCTAATGTCATCAAATTAATGTGCACCGTGATAACAAGCTACCTAGAATGGTGGCCACCTGACTGATAGAACTCAGTCTGCACCAAAGACAGGACTAGACACGTCACACTAGTTACCAAATAGTGTCCAATCAAAATACCCACTACAGTCCTATAGGAGGTCAATCGCGAGACCGAATAGCTTAGTGATTACATCTGTGACTGCAGGGCTCACTGGATGATGCGGTTTGAATCTCAGAAGGGACATAAGTTCCTTCAAAGCAGTTGCAGATACACGCCTTGCTGACTGGGGAGTGCCAAATAGCACGAAACCTAGGTTGAATGGGGCTTCCTATGGCCGATTGCCTCCAACTATCTACTATCACCAAAAGTGGAGATGTGTTGTTGGAGTCCTGTGTTCCACTCGGAACGCAAAGGAATAATAATAATATTAATTATACAGTCTAGTTCATAAGCGTGTGTTTAATGCTTCCTTGGTTATGACAGCCTACTAATTACTGTTTAGTTTAGAAGATAATTCAAGTTAATCAGAATAAGAAATGATGATAATAATAACTTCAATTTCTTCTTTCCTTTCCTATTCTTTAAGCCTATCACCGAGTTATGCTTATCGTTATTTGCATAAGATAATGGCAGATGCGCCTATCTTTGTGAAAAAGATGTCCAGTTCTTGAGGCAGTTTATCCAAAGTAAATGCCTTCTACGTCAGTCAGTGTTTAACTTTTATCTTTGAATTCAATCATACTTATACACACATGCATACATACATAATACTTCATCAAATTCAAGGCTGTTGTTTTTTTTTCGTCTCGTAAATTATGTCAAACTTTTACATTTGAACAACTAATCATATTATTATTATTATTATTATTATTATTATTATTATTATTTAACATCACGTCATAGTCGCAGATGTCATATGGACAAAACTTGGAGTCTATTCTATGTTTTAATAAACATATATATATATATATATATATATATATATATATATATATATATTTATTCAGCAATCAATCATTGAGATCCCATGATTTTCAGCATTTGGAACATACATTTTTTCACATTTACCGTTTCATATCTATCACTCAGTATAACAGACATTGATTTATTCTCGTGGACCATTTCACTAGTATTTCCTGAAATTTCATTTTGAAATACCGCTTTTATTCCCACTTCAGAAAAAATGTGTCATTTCATTCTTTGCATAAAAAACAGGCTTTTCTTGAATAATTTCTTCAATCATTAAATACCAGCATATAGCCTTTATTATTGTTCCTTTGAGTTCCTAGTGGAACATAGCACTTCAACTGCACGTCTCCACTTGCCACTACTGTCTCCTGCTGTACTTTACGCCTCCATCCATGTTAGTCTATACTGTTTCAACTCCTCTTCACACGATCTCCTACATGTCACCCTTGCACTGACGACCCACTCACTGCTCCCCTTTCGGAATGGTTCCACCCGAGGGCCTGACGCGCGAGCGATGTCACCCAATGGCGGCCTCGTCAGTGAGTGAGTGTCCAATCCATCTCCACTTTCTCCTGCATATTTGTTGGTTGGCGATTGGTTCTTGTTTTGTTTGTTCCCAGCCATAATTTCTTGTTGGTGATTGTTTCCGTCCACGCCATCTGATCTTCAGTATAGAGCCAGCGAAGACAGTTGTTGGTTGATGAAGGTCTGCAACAGGCTGTTGGAAATATTCTTTGTGACCCGCCCGCCCGCCAACTTTCTGATCCGTATAGAAAGAAGAACTGACTGACTTGACGTTGTTTGTATTGAAAATCCGACTGAATTTTGTTGTTGATGGTGGCTGAGTGACGAAGATTTCCAGATTGGTTTCAGGTTGATGAGTGTGCTTCTCGCCCCCTTCCCGATTCTCGCTCGATTTGACATCCTCGTCCGTTCCGACTGCCAGTAGTTGAGACAATGCTCCCTGGATAAGTGAGTGAATGAAGTAACCTCTTTCAAATTCCTCCCGTTGATGGTGATTGGGGCTGGATGTTGGTGCTGTTGTTGTTGGTTGGTTGGTTGGTTACTTTCATCACCTCCGTCTTGTCTATGTTCACCTGGAGTCCTGTCTTCGCCGGCTGATTCTTCAACCAGTTTATCGGTTTTCGACTGCAACTCTTCGATTTTGTGTGACATCAAACATAGATCATCCACGCGCGAAATCCAGGTCTTCTAGGTTCTTCACGTCGGTCCAGGATATCCCTCCGTGTCTTCTCGTCTCCCACTCACTGTCTGACGCATAATCCAGTCAGTCCACCACAATTAGGAATATCATTGGTGATAGTAAGCAAGCACCCTTGTCTGACTCCTGTGTTTACTCCAAACGCCTCGCTGAGTTTTCCGTTGTGGATGACTTGACATGTGCCGTTGTAGTACAGCTAGCTGTTGAATAAGGCTGACGAATATTTGGGGTATGCCAAAGTAATCGAGTAATTTCCAAATTACTTCACGATCAACGCTGCCTGTCGAAGGCCTTCTCAAAGTCCATAAAGTTGAGGTAGAGGTTTGATTGCCATTCCATGCTTTGTTCTGTGATGATGATGCGTAGAGTTGCAATTTGGTCAGAACATGATTTGCCTGACTTTCCTGAATCCAGCTTGTTCTGGTCGGAGTTCTGTATCCAGTGCGTCCTTTATTCTCTCCAGGATGATACGACTCAGGATTTTACTTGGCGTCGACAGGAGCATGATTCCTCGCCAGTTCTTGCAGAGTCCTAAGTCGGCCTTCTTTGGTAGTTTCACGAGGTAACCTTTCCTCCAGTCAGTAGGCATCTTTCCCTCCTTCCAGACCTTTTGCAATAATGGAGTCAGCATGTCTGCTGTAGTCTCTGGGTCGGCTTTTAGTGCTTCAAGGGGTATTCCATCTGGTTCAGCTGCTTTTCCAGCTTTTAGAAGCTTGATTGCATATTACCTTACTCTGTAGTTATTTGGAATTCAACACATGTCAGCGAATACTGGTGGTTATTGATATCCTGGCATTCCAAAAGTAATTAAAGGTTCAACGTTGAAGGTTACACTGGCGGTCGTTGTTTTTAGGCAATTAATCCTCCTTCATTTCTTGGCTTACCAAGACAGTAGCCGAGATTTAGGAAGGCTTTGCAGGAGGATCGAACCTGGACCATCTGCATGTTTGTATAGGGTTGCATCACTGAACCACCGACATACTCTCCATATACTGTATTATTATCACCCTGAGTTCCAAGTGGGACATACGACGTCAGAAGTACATTTCCAATTCGTCCTGTTCTTTGTGGTCCTTTTCAGCTGGCTTCACAATAGCCCACGGGCTTGCACCTCCGTCATGTCAACTGCAGACGTCCAAATCGTTGTTTCCCACTTAGGTTGCAGTCGAGTGATGGCCTGGAGGACGATTTCAATCTGCGGTCTCCTCCGATCCATTTACATTCTCTTGTATACATTTGTTGAGCGATAGGCTCTGGATTGGTTCATTCCCAGAGTTTCTTGCTGCTGATTGTCTCTGGCCATCTGATCTTCAGTACGGAGCGAAGACAGCTGTTAAGAAAAGTTTGCAATCTGTTAGAAATGTTTTTCGTGGCGAGCAATTTTACTTAGATTCATAGAAGAAGTGATTAACTTAACATTAGTGTTTAAAATCAGAACTTCTTTGTTCGTGTTGAGTACAAAAGATTTCCACAATGATTTCAAAGTGATGAATTTCTGTGTTGTTTTTCGACTCTGAGCTTCAATGACATCCACTTTGGTGGCGCCTGTAGTTGAAACGATGTTACCTACCTAAGTGGAGGAAAAGTTTTCTTTCGAGTTACTTCAGACTAATAAATTCTCTTCAAGAGAAAACTATAGTAAAGTGATAAATACACTTGTGCACTGTATTAGAGTATCATTCCATGATGGGTAGAATTTATTTTGATAAAGTCTGACAGTGTTATACAGTAATACTTTCTGATGACCACGCTCCGACCACAATTTATTACTGCTCATAATCATATCAATTACTCATACAACCTTGTAACTCCGTTTATATAATTCCATTATTTTTCACCGCTTGATTTGATTGGCAGTAGTATATTCCATATTTCCGGTATGAGTGTAACTTTGTGCAGGAACTTTTGTTTATTCCTTTAGGACTTCAACTTGCACCATTAAAGGCGCCAAATTCTTCGACTTTAAAATCTTTAATAACAAAAAGGGTAATTAATATCTCTGACTTCGACAATGGAAGATGTAAAAGAACATCCATCTGGTTATTATGTTATGCTAATAAAAAGATGGTTGTAGCGAACAAAAGTCTTCTTTTCGATGAAGTCATCAACTACATTCGCGTATCTACGGTAAATGGTTGAGAAAGCTCCCGAGTTATTTTAGGTTAAAGGTCAAATTAATAAAATTACAAAGTGTAATCATCAGGAAGGTGTTATAACTGTAGGGAATTAAATGAGGACGTTGTCGCCCTGTTCTGTCTGTGCCTGACTAATATGCCTATCTGCTTGTGGTACCTTCCGATTCAGTGAACCAACGCAAATATCAAAAGACAAAGGCTGGCCTGTGAACTGTATATTGTAGTACACAACAACAACTACTACAAGAAACTCATGGTATTTATACATTTTTACAACAATACAGACAGCTAACAGCATTTGAAATAATTGATCGTAATAGTCAATAACAAAGTGCGTGAGAAATGATGATATACGATTTATGCGAGATTAACAGCTGTTGAAATAATTGATCAGTAACAAAGTGCGTGGGATCCTATCAGAAGGCCGAGTAGGAAAGACAATAATAAGATCATAATTACTCAAAAAGTTGATTGTTTCTACAAATCGCAGATTATGGACGTAGTAATAAAAAAATAGGTAGGAAGATCGGATGTATAAAAAAACAGCACTTCACTGTAGTAATGCAGAGAGGAAATAAAAACGTGAAAGTAACAGAAATAAACTTGGGGGTTGAACAAGAAAGCTGATTGGATAATCATTATTGGTAGGATTGACTTTTCATGATGGTCATGGTAGGGACAACGGTTGGAAGTATTTCTTCTAAACACAGAGAGTGGGCTTGAGTTTTTGGATTGCTAGTGCCTCAGTTATTCCTAGATGCCTTGATTTCTTTCGTTTTGGCTTTTAAGGGCTTTTCAAATGGAGCTGAATTTTTCCGGAGTTCACCAGTTGTTTTGTTACTGAAATGTGTACGTTTTTGCCTTTCCTATGATGTTTCGTTTTCTGCTTAGAGGCACACAATTTTGAAAGTTTATAAACTTTCCGTTCCATGCGTGCTGTTTATAGATGGATCTTCTCAGTAAGTTGTCAGGATTCCTTCACAGTTGAACATCGAGGAAATGAAACACTGAGTTCTGTTTTAGTTAGTGAAAAGTAAACTTTGTTCCAAGAATACTTCCAGACAGAAATTTTTTGACACTTATCATTAAGACCATAATGCGTTAAAGGCTACAGTCAATAATATGACAATCACATTGTATATGTATGCTTGACACGTTTCCTTCAGTAAGATTTGAACCAGGTAAAGGATTCTTGCTAAACAATGCGTTACCTGAAACATTTCCAGTAGCTGGCTTCAAACCTTTATCCACAGCTACCTCCGCCTCCCTCCTACTGAAGATCAGATGGTTAGAAAGGATTAGAAACATGGAACTATGATGACAAACCAACTAAAAACCTACCACT